TCTCTTTCTTTCCCGGCTTTCCCCCCTCCCATTCCTTTTCACCCCCCCCCTCCCCTCCCCTTTCCCCTCCCTTTCCCCCCCTCCTCTTTTTTTTTTTCCCCCCCTCCCCTTTCCCTCCCCCTCCCTTCCTTTTCCTCCCCCCTTCGTTCTCTCTCCCCTCTCCCTCTCTCTTCTTCCTTCTCTCCCTCTCTCTCTCTCTCTCTCCTCTCCCTCCCCTCTCTTCCTTCTCTCTCTCTCTCTCTCTCTCTCTCTCTCTCTCTCTCTCTCTCTCTCTCTCTCTCTCTTTCACTCTCCCCCCTCTCTCTCTCTATTTATCTATCTCCTCTTCCTTCTCTTTCCTCTCACTCCCCACTTTCTCCATCTTTTTCTTCAACTCGCGTTTACTCCCCTTCCCCTTCCTCCCTCCGTGCCTGTGGCGAAGGAGCAAAGGCGAAGATCCTACAGGCTTTGGGCGATCCTGCCGTGGAAGGAGCGAAGGATTACGTCAGACGAAATCCTTATCCCACATTTTCCTGTTTTTTTTCCGCTGGTCCTTTCTCTTTTTTATTGCTTCCCTTTCCTCCCCTTTTTGTTTGTTTGTTTGTCTTTAGTGGACAGCTCGCGGAGGTGGATTTCCTAAAGCAGTAATTTATTTTATTTTATTTTATTTTTTTCATTTTTATTCGTATGGCGCCATCCATGACTTCGAGACAAGAGAATAAAGAATATACTAAGAAATGAAAAATAAGAATAAATTTTGAAAAAGAAAAAAAAAAGAAAAATGAAATGAAAAACAACAACAAAAAAAACAATAAAGTAGAAAAATAAGAAGATTAATCTTTTCGTGTTTCACGGCGGGTGACGGGCCGGGGCAGGAAACAGGACACAAGAAGGCTCTCGGCTTCTCTCCTATCTCCCCATACGTCTTTTTCTCCTCCTTCCCTCCTCTTCCCTTCTCCTCGCGTGCGTAGTTATTGCGTCTCTTTCTTCTCGTTTCTTCGTCTTCCCTCCTATCGTCTCTCTTTTCTCCATTCCTCATCCTCCCCGTGGATAATTACAGGTTCTTTCCTTCTCTGCCCTTTTCTTATCAATTCCCTCAATTCTCCTTTGCATAATCATAGCGTCTCTTTCTCCTTCCTCCTTTTCCCTGGTGCCAGCTCCTCCCTTTCGTAATCATAGCATCTCTCCTTCCTCCTCTCCTCCTCCTCCTTGCGTGCATAATTATAGCGTCCTTTTCTTCTTCTTCTTCCTTCTCTTCATCATCATATCGTGTTTCTCTTCTCCTCCCTCATTCCTCTTCCACCTCCTCCTCCCGTGCATAGCATTATAGCGTCCTTTATTCTCTTTCCTCATTCCTCCTGCGCATAATCAGAGCACATCTCTCTACTCTTTTCCTCCTCTTCCTCGTTCCTTCTCCTCCTCTTCCTTCGTTCCTTCTCCTCCCATGAATAATTATTGCGCCCTTTTCTTTTTTCTTCCTCATCCTCCCGTGCTCAATCATTTCGTCTCTCCTTCTTCCTCCTTCGGTACTCCTCTTTCTCGCTTGCCCCTCACCCTGTGCATAATTATATTGTGTCTCCTTCCTCCTTCCTTCCTCCTCCTCCTATGCATAATCATCGCACTTCTCTCTTCTCCCTTCCTTCCTCCTCCTCGCTCGCTCCTCCTCCTACCCTTTGCACAACCACCTCCATTTCTTCTCCTTCGTCACTGACCGCGTGTCCCTCCTCCTCCCTCCGCAGTGGACGGCGGGACGGAGGCGGAGATCCTGAAGGCGCTGGACGAGGCGGCGGCGGAGGGCGCCTGGGGCTACGTGCCCCTCAGCGGCCCTTACATCGACCCGCAGCATTCGGGGAACGTGACGGCGCAGGTGGGGGCGACGGCCGTGCTCAACTGCCGCATCCTGTACATCGTCGGCAAAACGGTAGGATCCTTCTCCTAAGTCGATTTTGGTTGGTTTGTTATTATTTTAAGATTATCTGTTTTTCCTTATTTTATCGGTATATATTTTTTCTCAACAATACTTTACTGTGACGGCCGTGCTTCAGCTGCCGTATCCTGTTCGTCGTCGGCAAAACGTAGGATCCTTCTCCTAATTCGATTTTGGGGTCTTTCATTTATTCTTTAGGTTTTAGGATTACCCTTTTTCCATTATTCTATCGGTATATATTTTTTCTCAACAATACTTTACTGTGACGGCCGTGCTTCAACTGCCATATCCTGTTCATATATGTATGTATATATGTATGTATGTATGTATATATATAAATATATATACATATGTATGTACATACGCATATATATTACCTTACCACAACGGCGGTGGAACATCTTAAGGAAAATGGTAGGATTCATTTTTTTTTTTTTTTTTTTTACTGTTATTTTTGATGTTTTATTTTATGTTATTAAATTCATTATTCTATTGTATATATATATATATATATATATATATATATATATTATATATATATATATATAATATATAATATATATATATATATATATATATATATATATATATATATATATATATATATATATATTATTATATATATAGTATATATATATATATATATATATATATATATATATATATATATATATATATATAGTTTTTTTTCTTCTTTTTTGTTTGATTATCGGTATTGAATCGCCTTAAATACGCAAGTAGACATTAAGAAGAACTAATGAGATTTGATCGTCTCATCATCGGTATTATTATTTGTTATTATTATTATTTTTTTATATATCATCATCCCTTGACGGCCGTGTTTCAGTTGCCTCCTCCTCTACATTATCGGAAATACGGTGATTCTTTTCCTTTTCTCTAATTATCCTATTCTTTTCCTTTGATTCATTTGCGCCATTATCACTGTCGTTATTTTGTCATTAGTGTCTGGGTTTCGATACTTTTATATTTTGTTATTGCTCTCTCCTCGGAACGGCTGTGCTCGAAGGCCGCGTCCTCAGTCCATTGTTTTTTATCATAATTTCTTTTTAGTGTTTTTATTCTATCTTGTCAGTGTTTTTGTTTGTTTGTTTGTTTGTTTGTTTCCCTCTTATCGATTTGACTAGATTCTTAGCGTGTTTTATTATTATTATTACTATTGTTATCATTTCTTTTTAATTTTCCTTTTGTCATTATTTTTTGTTTTGTTTTTGTTTTTGTCTCTCATCACTTCATTATCGGTAATATTATTTTCCACGTTTTTCCTTATCACCTATTTCTTTTAAGCATTTTTGTCTTATTACTTTCTTAAATTAATATTCCTATAATTGTTATACATCCGACACGCATTCGCTTAAAAGCCGCTTCCACGACATCGCAGGAAGACATTTGAAATTGATTTTATGATCATTTTTGTTTTATATCTTCCTATTTTATTATACTCTCTTTTCTTGTCTTTAATGCTGGTCAGTGATGCTATTATTATTATCATTATTATTATATTATTATTATTATTATTATTATTATTGTTATTATTATTATTATATATATTATTTATTATTATATTATTATTATTATTATTATTATTATTGTTATTATTATTATTATTATTATTATTATTATTTATTATTATTATTATTTATTATTATTTATTATTATTATTATTATTATTATTATTATTATTATTATTATTAATTATTATTATATTATTATTTATTATTTTTATTATTATTATTATTATTATTATTATTATTATTATTATTATTATTATTATTATTATTATTATTATTATTATTATTATTATTATTATTATCATTATTATTATTATTATTATATTATTATCATTATTATTATTTTTTTTTTTTTATTATTATTATTTATCATTATCATTATCATTATCATTATCATTATCATTATCATTATCATTATTTATTTATTATCATTATCATTATTATTCATTATTATTATTATCATTATCATTATCATATCATTATTATCATTATCATTATCATTATCATTATCATTATCATTATCATTATCATTATTATTATTATTATTATTATATTATTATTATTATTATTATTATTATTGTTATTATTATTATTATTATTATTATTATTATTATTATTATTATTATTATTATTAAATTATCATTACCTGTTCGTGACGAGCGAGTCCAGAATGTCGCATTCTCTACATCGCTGAGCCCTGGGATTATTGCATTTGATGTTCCTTTTTTCTTTCTTTCTTTTTTATATCAAAGCTTTTTATTTCTATTTTTTTATATCAAAGTTTTTTTATTTTCTATTTTTATGTTTTTTTTTTTCGTCGTCATTACTGCGTCGTTATCGTTGTTGTTCTATTTATTGTTATTATTCTTTTTCGCGACGTCTGAGCTCCCACGCGCCACGAGGGACAGCGGCGCGACCGGTTTTATCTCCGCGATTATTGCTTGTTTCCTCTTTCTCTTTTCATTCCCTTTTCTCTTTCGCTCTGTGATGTTTTTTCTTTCTTTTCTTATTTTGTATAACGGTGAGTAATCCTCTTCTGACTCATCTATTTTATTTTTTTTTCTTTCTTTCTTTTTTAATTCTTTATTGTTATATTTTCGAAGAACTGCTGCTCTTGTTGACTCAGCGATGACTGCTCACCTCGCCGAGAGACAAAACAAAACAAAAGTTCTTTTTCATATTTATTGTTGCTGCTGTTAGAATTGCTGTTATTTTTTATTATATTATTTAGTTTTATTGTTTTTCTATTATTATTATTGTCATTATTATTAGTAGTAGTATAGTTATTATTATCTTCAGCAGCAGCAGCATCATTATTATCATTATTGTTATTATCACTTGTTATAATCATCATCATCATTATTGTTGCTATCATTATCATGGTTATTATTAATTGTTATTATCATCACTATTAATACTGCTATCATTATTGCTATATCCTAGTATTTTTTTCATCCGTTATCAAAATTCTTCCATCTTTGTTATCCATTGCGGAAAACAGTAAGAATTTTCCTGTTGTTATTCCGCTGTCTATGTCATCCCTCACCCTTCTGTGCCTGTTTCAGCGGTTATTTCGATCAGGGAAAATGTCTGTTTCGTAATCATTAAGGTGTCGCAAGCTTAAGCTATTTTGTCATCGTTATTTCTTTCTGTCTCCGTTGAGTTATTCGTTTGTTTTATGCCTTTTCCGTCTTTTATTATGAATAAGTGTCCAGCTGTCATGTCCTCTGAGCGGGGGGAAAACGTCCAGCTTTTTCCCTGTTGTTTTATTTCGTTTTTTATTTCTTTTTTTTTTTCCATTTTTTCACTTTCAAACGTAATTTGTTTATCGAGAGGGGATGGAGAGGGGAGGAAAGAGGGAAAAGGGGGAGGAGTGAGAGAGGGAGGACGAGAAACGGAGGAAGGGAGATAGGGAGAGAGAGAGAGAGGGAGGGAGGGAGAGAGAGAGAGAGAGAGAGAGAGAGAGAGAGAGAGAGAGAGAGAGAGAGAGAGAGAGAGAGAGAGTGAGAGAGATAGGGAGGGGCAGACACACAGAGACAGACAGAAAAAGAGAGAGAGAGGGGGCGAAAGAGAGACAAGAAGAGACTAAGAATAAAAATTTTAGATAAAAAGAGAAAGGGAGACCTGGGAAAAAGAATATAAAGCAGAAAGAAAGAGAGAGGGGAGGATGGCGAAGAAGAAACAAGGAGAGAGAAAGAATGAGAATTTGAGATAGAAAGAGAACAGTGAAAAGAATAAGAGAGGAAAGAGAGAAAGAAAACGAGAAAGGCAAAAAGGCAAAGGTACAAAACGCAAAGAAATGTTAGTGAAGCGGCTTACAGATCAACGGATAAAGATCAAAGGCAAAAACAGAGTGGAGAAAGCAGGGGAGAGGAGAAACGAAAGAGAAGCAAGCGTGCAAAAGTTTCCAGAGAATAGCCAAAGGGGGAGGAAGCGGGAGGGAAAGAAAGACAAGAAAAAATTAAGAAAAAAGTAAGAGAGAAACTGCGATAGTTGCCAAGGAAGGAGGTGCGAGGGAAACAAGTGCGGATATAAGAAAAGACGAAAGAAACGAATAATAACAAGAAGGAGGAAAGAAATAAAGGTTGAGGAGGGATAATGATAAAATTCTAGAATGTGAACAACAACGCTATCAGTTATAATGATAATAAGAGTAATGATGATAAGGAAAGAGAGATAAATAAAAAACTATCAGTTATAATGATAATAATAGTGATGATGATAATGGTGATGAGAGAAACAGATAGTGATAACAACAACAAAGATAATAATGGTAATATGAATGATGGTAATACTAGTACTGTTACTGATAATAATAATTATATTGGTGATAGAAATTATATAAATAACAACACCGAAATTCCGTTGAAATGAGAGGAAAAGTTTGAAAATATGAAAGCATTTTCCCGCACCGCAAATAATGGTAATGATAATGATAATGATGATTACTTATCGTACTCAGTATGGTTATAACAACAACAATGATATCAATAATAGGAAAATGATAATGATAATAGCTATGACGAAAAATTAATAATGATATAAGTATATGTTAATAATGATATGATGATGGTGATGTTAATGATGATAATCATATTAACAATGGTAATAATGATGATAAAGATAATAACGATTATGATAAAGATGAAGATTAAGATATTGATGTTATTGATAATGATAATGATACTACTACACCTGCTTTCAGTAATAAAGATATTAATGGGAATGAAAATTATAATAATGATAATAGTAATAATAACCAAAATTAAAATAATGATGATGATGATAATCGTTGTAGTAGTTGTTGTTGTTGTAATAATAATGATAATAGTGATGATAATGATGATAAAAAAGTAATGAGTTATTTCATCATTATTATTATCATCATTTTTATTATTATTATTATCAATATTATTATTTTCATCATCATCATCATCATCATCATCATCATCAGTATCATGATGA